ATCCTCATTTGTCTGCCAAGGTCAACCACCAATCTCTATCTCATATGGCTTAGAGGACTGTGAGTGTGCTAACTGATTTTATGCTTTGCATGAGGTTTTGGGTTCGAATTCCGACTTGTACAAATACTCTGAAATCATGGTTTTATGTATTTTAATCATGTTTCTATTTTGTGCAGCCTAAATAGGATACAGCTGCAGTTACGCCATCAATTTAGCATCATTTTTGTAACACTGTAATAATAAATAAATTAAAACAATAATAAATATTTTTACAGTATGGTTGGTTTTAGGGTTTGGGTAGACATTAATAAAATACAATAAATGGGACATTTAATGAATAATATAAATAATTCTTGATAACTTCAGGCCACCGTTTTTGATCTAGAAACAACCCTGATTCAAGACAAAAACAAGACATTTATTCACAAATTGTTAATTCGGATATCACACCAATGTTGAAACAAAACGATACAAGAGCAAAGCATTACCAATTGGTATTAAAGCATTTCAAAATTGCTGCGACAGCCTGGCTTCGAAACCTTCTAACCCCGCATGGAAGTCTGACACCTTTACCACTGTACTATGTAACTTGAAGGATCAAACGTACAAAGTTGGGTTTAATGCCTCAATTTGTTCAACTGTTCTTTGCTGAAGCTGTTTCAGTGCAATACATAAAAAATGACCACTAGATGTCACTGTAGAGTGGGGTTTCGAAACGTTTCGAAGCTTCGACACATTTGCTTCGACTGTTTCAGTGTTTCACGAAGCCTCGCTTTGCCCACCACTAGCTAATTTACAGATATTTTTTTACAGTGTAGCCTCAAAAGAAATGATATCTCACACTTACTAGCACACACATACACACGCGGTGAGGCAGCGAATAACAAATCTGCACTGACAGGCGTGATACGATATTGATATCTCGATGGGCACAGACTTGAAGATTCTTGCTCGACAGCACCTTCTGGCTCTCCTTCTCCGAAAGATTTCATCTAAAATCATAAACACTCACATAAAACACCCCTTTATGATTTCACGCCTGCATTTCTGGCTGTCAGGCAGTCACTTAAATGAACGTCAGGTGTTTGGCCGACTGCCCTGTTTTGGGGAATATGTGATTCCCAGTCTTGTCTTTTTTTTTTTCCTCCCAGCAACTGTTTAGATGTTGAATTTTTTATGCTTTGTTCCTGGACGGCGTGATTTTAATCTTTCGAGCAGAATGTTGTTGTGGGAAGGTCTGGTGGTCTCGTAGACTAATGAAAAGGCAGATTCTTGTTCCAAAGGCTAACTCTGTATGCATTTTCGTTAGGGGAGCTTTGAGAGAAAATGGAAAGGAAGAGCAGAGAGATTGAGTTGTAGAGGTCACTTTCTCGCTGACCACAGATTTGTTGAGCTGTTGATTTTCATTGCTACCTGAACTCATAATGCAGAGATCTTGTGGTCATTGGGAAAGTAAGGCCAGTAGGACATAAAATAATGGTGGTGTGTTCAGAGATCAGACTCCATATATTACCAAAATGCATTTAATTCATTATTAATAATAAAGTTACATCTAGGTATTATTATCAGTTGGGGGTTAAAGAAGAATCCCCCACATAAAGCCTGAAATTGTTAATGCCCTTTCCAATTCTGACTTAAAGTCACTTATATTCAACCAAAGTTTTTTTTTTTTTTTACCCAAATGACACCAGACTTCTCCCAAAAGTAATCAGACGATGTACAAGAGGCATAATTGTGAAAAATAATTATTTATTTACATTTAAACTAAAACTTTAAGTCAGAACTTGCCAGGGGTATAAATAAATTTACCAATTTTGTAAAACCTATATTCCGCAAACATACACTACTGTAAATTAGGGATGCACAATATATTGGTGACCATATTGAAATCAGCTGATAAATTGTATTTTTAATATTATCGTTTAAAGTTCAGAGGTCGGTTCAAACTTTTCTGAAGTTAAAGGTGCAGTCTGTTAGATGGACACTCAGTGGTTGAACTAGGTAATGCAGTTCAAAACTTCAAACGCTTTGTCACCCAGCCTCTCCTCTGACGAGGGTTGCCAAATTGACAACACCCACATGAGCAAGTATGCCTTGACATGCAATAAAATAAATATTTTCCGTGTTAAAGGAGTTTTTGTCCAAACACTCATCTGAAATTTCTTTTTTAAAAACAGTTTCTATTTCTCGCAGTTGAATGCGACTGCATAAAGTATGAAGCAATCACCTCAGGTACTGATTGTGTGACATTTATTTTGATATAGAAAGCAGCAGGAGACATTCCAACACCGACACAAATGTTTCTTAAAGAAGACATAAAAACTTACTTACAGACGCTTTAAGGTTTTACAATCAAATATTTTGTTCACTGTATGTGTTTGCCTTTTTGTTTTTGCAATCATGCTCAGAAAAAAAAACAACATTTATATTTATCGGCCTAAACATCGGCTATTGGATTCCAAATATAAAGAGTTATTGTTCTCGTTGTCAGCCAACATTTTCAATTCGGGGGCATACCTGCTATAAAACGGTCAAATAAAGTTTGATTTAATCAAAATTAGGGATGTAACGGTATCAGAATTTCACGGTACGGTAATACCTTGGTATGAATGTCACGGTACGGTATTTATTGAATCATTTACAGGAAAAAACAAAACTTATGAAAATACTCCAAAAAAGTGCCAAAAATGTCAATTACATACAAATTAGCCATCTATCTGTAAGCTTTGAAACAGGAACTTCAATTTTAATAACAAAAAAATATTAAACCATGTAAAAAAATTAAGTTTCAATTTAGTAGTGTTGAAAACTCATCACATTCAACATTTAATCACTCACTCACTTAGATAGAGATGGGTTTAAAGGAAAATTATCATATAAATATAATCTGGTAAAAGCTGGTATCTCTGGGTATTTACAATGTCCCCTGCAACAGAAAAAACCCCTCTCATTTGGGACTGAGGTTTCTGGGACAGAGAGATATGACTTGGCCCAGGTTGACAGCAGTGGGTAACGTTGTGCATTGTCTTCCCCCACTTGAGAGGACAAACCATGAGTAAGATAGAGGTCTCATGTCAGCATCAATCTGAACAGTGTGCTGTGTTTCTGCAGTCTCCATGACTGATTATTAGTCCTATTCCCCAACTTGCAGGCACGTGCACACACAGGGCTCAACCTGTGCAGTGCACATGCCCTTTTTAGTCTTGGATAGAAAGTTCCCTTCCAAAATGATTAAAAGTGCCCCCGCGACGCGAGACATACCCTCCGTCCCCGCTTTACAGTATGCGCGCGACAACACAGCTGATAAGATTTCGCGCGACAACACCGCTATTCAGTATGCGCGCGACAACACAGCTGATAAGAACTCGCGCGACAACACCACTATTCAGTACGCGCGCGGCGACAACACCCGCTTTAGAGTTTTCCAGCTCTTTTTCATCCCCGCTTCTAGCAGCACACTCCATTTCCGCATTACTGGATCTGTAGCGACAACAGACCGCAAGGGATTATGGCCAAGCCTGGGCTGATGGGAATTGTAGTTTCCGGTACCTCCCGTTCGCTTCATTCGCCTGAGCAAATTTTCTCAGAAGACCTATAGTTTTACCGAGTCATGCGACTACGGTAATATCGAAAAAAAATAATATTGCGGTATGACGGTATTTACAATACCGTTACATCCCTAATCAAAATGCTTAGTTAAGGAATGGAGAATTGATGCTCCAAATCCACTTTTGCTATTTTAAGAGCCAAAAAATATGTTCTTCGCTGTGGCGCATGGTCTAACAGGGTTGTGCTTATTTTCTTATTGAGTTATGGGTGTGTTTTGAGCATAACGTGCATTAAACCAGTCAGAGACTCATCTCCCGTTCCCTTTAAGAGTTAGTTGTGTCGCGCCATGGCGCATTTGCTATGTACATGATGGACTTTGTAAGTGTAAAAACTGAACGCTTCACTAGCGAGAAAACAGTTAAACAGACTATCTGCAGAGCAAAGACAAGGAATGAGACTCCTCCAATCGGCCTCTTTACTTTCACTCTTTACTTTACTCCTTTACTTTAATGGATAAAGAAACGCTGTTGTACGCACTCCACTGAAAACATCCATTAGCCTACATAATTAATTTTATTTGTTAAGCACAAAGATTTGTTTCAAAGCTATTTTTTAATTCAGTTCTAATTCCCAGCAAACAAATAAATGGAGTTAACTTGTTAATAAAAGTTCACCGGCGGAACCCCGCCTCACTTTGTCTCCTTAACTAATCACCTACTCCCTTAAACTCATTTAAGGAAGACCATCCCTCTAGCACTGTTCTTATCGTTCTTTGAACCCATCCTCCCTCCCTCCACTTCCTCGCTTCCCATTCACAACCTTATACTCCTCTTTACTCCTACATGCAAGTTGCATCGGGGGGTCCCCTTACTCTGCCAAACTATTACAGAGACAGTACCCCCACTCTGTGTCTCTGGGCACAGTAGGACGCCCGATCAACTTACCCACCTGTTTACCAGTCATCCTCTTACTCCCCTTCCCTTTCATCCCACTGTTCCTCTACCATCCCTTGTATCCCTACATCCCTACTTACCAGCACACCCATGAGTCCACAAAGAGTTGCAAATGGATTTGCTATTTAAACGTGGTGCAAAACGTGAAAATTACAGTTGCACTGGTCCAAAAATAGCAACAAATCATGCTGCACACATCTTGCACCTTATTGCACCGAATGTATGATAGGACCCATAATATACTTTCAAAAACAAGGCAAAAGTGCATGATCATGTTACTGAGATGGACCGTTTTTGGCAACAATAAATGAACAGTAGTATTGGCTCATCTTGAAAGATGCAAATGCAGCATGGATGGCGTTGAGCGATGTATCAATGGTTAGTTTGTATCAATATCAGAGCACCTGCCTTAGAGGTTTAGTCATGTGACTCTTATCTTGACATTTTATTGTATCATTTTTTTAAAGTAACCCATCTGGTGCTCTGTTTCTGGCACAGACAGGTCTGTGCGCTTGATCATGGAAGAGCAGGCTAGCAGCGCGGGCAGCAGTCCTCAGCACGGCCGCGGATCAGCCAAGCTGGAGGTCCTCCGCTGCGGGTGGCTCCGGAAACAAGGAGGCTTCGTCAAGACCTGGCACACACGTTGGTTCGTCCTCCGAGGAGATCAGCTCTATTACTACAAGGATGAGGATGAGACCAAAGCTCTGGTTAGGAATGGCTTTCTCTGTTTATTTTTTGCCTTGTTTTGATCTTTAAATGGGCTGAACAGGGCCGCACAATGGCTCATTGGTTATGATTATCATCTCACAAGAAGTGAGTTTGAGTCCCCACAGCAATGTTCAAGTGAGTCAGTTGGTTTTTCTGTGGAGTTCGCATGTTCTCCCCATGTTGGCGTGGGTTACCTCCAGGTTCTTAGTTTCCCCCACAGTCCAAAGACATGCTCTATCAGTAAATTCAATAAACAAAAAAAAAATTGACGTAGTGTATGAGTGTGTGTGTGTGTGTGTGTGTGTGTGTGTGTGTGTGTGTGTGTGTGAGAATGTGTGTGTGTGTGTGTGTTTCCCAGCGCTGGGTTGCGGCTGGAAGAACTTCCGCTGAGTAAAAAAACATATGCCGGGATAGTTGGCGGTTCATTTTGCTTTGGCGACCTCCAAAGTAGAGATAAAGTCGAAGGAAAATTATGCAATATGGGTAATAGAACATGTATGCGAGTAAAATAAGAAAGCTAACTTTGTAACTAAATCTGTATCTCTAATTATCTGAATCTTTTAGTCTGAATTAAAGAGCAGTTTCTGCATTTTGATGTGTGTAATATTGCAAATAATAAAGCAGAATAACAGAACAATTGCTAAGCGTTTCTTAGGTGTTATTTACAGCAATAATCTGATGTAATTTAGATCTTAAACTTTTTAATTAGCGGTTGTTATCACTCCACCACCTGTGTGGGGTTAATAATGGCAGTTGAAACCAATGTGGTTTGAAGGAGAATGTGCACCAACAATGTAAGTTAAGTCGCTGTCTGAAAGGGATTCTAACAAAATAGTTTTACACTCACCAGACACTTTATTAGGTACACCTTACTAGTACCTGGTTGGACCCCCTTTTGCCTTCAGAACTGCCTTAATCCTTCGTGGCATTCAACAAGCAACTGGAAATGTTCCTCAGAGATTTTGGTCCATATAGACATGATAAGACCACGCAGTTGCTGCAGATTTGTCGACTGCACATCCATGGTGTGAATATCCAGCAACTATACTCAGGTAGGCTGTGGCTGTGGAGACAATGCTCAACTGGTACTAATAGGCCCAAATCATTACAACACCATCCTGAACTGTTGATACAAGGCAGGATGGATCCATGCTTTCATGTTGTTGACGCCAAATTCTGAATCCTACCATCTGAATATCGCAGCAGAAATTAAGACTGATCAAACCAGCCAACATTTTTCCAATCTTCTGTTGTCCAATTTTGGTAAGCCTGTGCGAATTGTAACACCAGTTTCCTATTCTTAGCTGACAGGATCGGTGCCTGGTTTGGTCTTCTGCTGCTTTAGCCCATTTGACTCAAGATTTGTCGTATGGTGCGTTCAGAAATGCTCTTCTGCATACCTCAGTTGTGACGAGTGGTTATTTCAGTTACTGTTTTCAGCTCAAAAGTCAGCTCAAACCAGTCTGGCCATTCTCCTCTGACTTCTGGCATCAACAAGGGATTTGCAACCACAGAACTGCTGCTCACTGGATATTTTCTCTTTTTAAGATCATTCTCTGTAAACCCTAGAGATGGTTGTGCGTGAAAATGCCAGTAGATCAGCAGTTTCTGAAATACTCAGACCATCACCTTTCTTTCCCATTCTGATGCTTGATTTTAACTGCTGCAGATCGTCCTGACCCATTTCTACATACCTAAATGCATTGAGTTGCAGCCATGTGATTGGCTGATTCGAAATTTGCGTTAACGAGCAGTTGGACAGGTGTACCTAATAAAGTGGCCGGTGAGTGTATATCCTATTAAGGTAAACTGTGAGGTAAAGGTAAATGTCCTTGTAAATATATATTGTAACACCAAAAATTATTGAGGTCATGTACAAATATTGTTAAGTTAAATATTTTTAAGTTATCTAAGTTGTTATATTGATTATTGTGACGGGCCCAAACCCAGCATGAAAGCACTTCATCATTCAATGACTCAAAACAGTTTGTCACAAGCTAAACATGTATAAATAACACAGTTAAATCACATCCTGTGCAATTTCACAAACGTGCAAAGCCATATCGCAATTTCACGTCAATCTATTGCACAGCTGTATTTAGAAATGTACAAATAGCTTTATTACACGCAAACTTACGCAGATGTGCACATCAAATTGTTTACACCATTAAGCCCGTTCATTCACAAGTAAAAATCCACGTCTTCTCCTAGTTCAAATCTCATGCCAAGACCTAAACAAGAGAGGTGTGGAAAGAGGGACCTGCTTTTCACCTCTCGAACAATCTCTCCTGAATGATGGCTTGTCACGATTCCTCGTCCAACAATGGAGAGTTTTATCCTCGAGGTCATGCAGCTGGTCTCGAGTAGGTGGACAAAAGTGTTTACTATGGATTCAGGAGGGAATTTGAGAAGGATCCATGAATCTCCCTCTTTGCCCACAGGAATATTAAAGATTTATACCCGTACGTCTGCATTTTAAGGTTCGTCTCCTCTGTATCTTTGAAGTTCCGTGTTCAGCTTTAATTTTGACGTGTAAATGCACTGTTAGAGCTTGTCCCAGGTTTGGGATATTGGATTTCACGAGTAGGCAGCATCTTCGTTCGGGGTTTTCATTGACAGAGCTATCAAAGGACACTGAATACGGTTTTAAAGGAAACGGCAGTCTTTGAAGTTCTTCAGACAGCCTTATTTGAGGTTGTTAAAATACTTAAGATGTGCCATGAAGCTCTTCTTGAATCCGCTGGCAAATGTTTGCAAAACAGGAGAAAGCTTTTTATGAAAATACTAATGCGGGATTCACTTTGAGTAGTTGTGAAGAGTAAACTTTGCAAATTTCTTTCACTCATGTGTTTGAAATATATTCACATTCAGAAATGGCTACAGGATAAACATTTTATGAAGTTTAATCTAAAATAAACACGTTTAGCATTTGATTACAATGTTTAACTATTATTTACTGTAGTGTTCTAATAATTGGTACTTATATTTTGGTGCTTAATAATCTTAGTAAAATCCTTAGTAAATGAAAGATTTAAATACATTTAAGGTGTTGCAAAAATACAAAAAAATACAAACTGCTAAATTTCAACTAAATATATACAGTAGAAGTCAGCATTATTATTCTTTTTTTAATATTTCCCAAAATATGTTTAACAGACCAAGTAAATTTTCACAGTATGTCTGATAATTTTTTTTCTTCCGGATAAAGTTTATTTGTTTTATTTCGGCTAGAGTAAAAATATTTGTAAAAATTTTAAAAGCCATTTTAAGGTTAAATTTTTTGCCCCTTTGAGCTATATATATATATATATATATATATATATATATATATATATATATATATATATATATATATATATATATATTTTTATATTATACGTTTATTATATATATTTTTTCGATAGTCTACAGAACAAACCAGCGTTATACACTAACTTGCCTATTTACCCTAACCTGCCTAGTTAACCTAATTAACCTAGTTAAGCCTCTAAATTTCACTTTAAGCTGTATTGAAGTGTCTTGAAAAATATCTAGTAAAATGTTATTTACTGTCATCATGACAAAGATAAAATAAATCAGTTATTAAAGTTATTTTTTAACTTTATTTCATGAGTTGTTAAAACTATTATGTTTAAAAATGGGTTGATAAAATCTTCTTCCCTCTGTTGAAAAGAAATTAGGGAAAAAAATTAACAGGGTGCTAATAATTCATGGGGGCTACTGATTTTGACTTCAATTGTATATATGTCATTTTGCAGTCAAGTTTTAGCTCATTATTCTTTATCGTAGCTTCTTACTGCTGAAATGCAGTGAGTGTTAGTTAAAAAAAGAACTGAAAAGATATGAACTATCTCCGACTTTTATTCAAATTTGTTTAAAAATATTCAGAAATTAAACACTCATTTCCCCCTAGAGCAAACAGTAGAGAGTTATCTGCTGGTGTCTTTGTGATGTTTTTTTATATGGTGTAACAGCTGCAAACAACTCTGAAATTGCACTTTGCTGTTGATAGCTCCTATATTGAGTGTCACAGGCAATACTTTTAGTAGACTTTTTAGCAAGACACTCCTCACTCCTCCGCTTTTTTAGGTTCTGGTTGTTGTATTTCCTTGTGCTGTGGCAACAAATCTATGACTGCTTCTACAAATGACCTGTTTTTTTATGTCTGTGACTTTGAAACCAAAATATTCCTATATTACAGACATGCTGTTTTACTTTGATATTAATCTGTTAAAGAGCCCATATTATACATGAAATAGGGTCATATCCTGGTTGTAAGGGTCTCCAACAACAGTCTAATATGCATGCAAGGTCAAAAAACACTTTCATGGTCTTATAATCTGCCTTTATTTTTACCTAATTATCCCAGCGACTCCTGTATGAATCGTCCAGTGATTCATTTGTTCCCAAACCCCTCTTTAGCGCGGAGCTAATCTGCGCTGATTGGACCGATGACAGTCTGTCGCGATTGGTCGACTGCCTTCAGTCAGAGAGGGAAATGGCCAATAGCTAATCAGCAATTTAAAAAGTAATCACAGTTCATACACGCTCGATAGTGTAGACGTGGATTTTAGCTGCCACACTATGGCGAGTGGATAGTGCCACGGATAACCGAACGAAGGAGACAGTCGTGTACTCGCCATACCACACACACACAAAAACACACACACACCTCCGGATGACAACGCTCCCGCTTCCGCCCGCACCCGCCAGGTTTTAGCCTGAGAACCCGCTCCGTTTTCTGCCCGCCGCGCCCGGTCCCGCTAGAGCGGAGAACACAACCAAAAATCACCCAGTATACAGTCCAGACAGCCAAACTGTCTGTATAAATACACACACACAGCACAAAGCTCGTTCATTCGTTCGTTCGCTCTCTCTCTCTCTCTCTCATACGCGCGCGTGCGCACTAACACACACACAAGCACCACGCAGACTCTCTCTTTCTAATTCGCATAGCAATATCCGTGATATTGCTAGACAGCCCGCTCCCGTCCCAAAT